AAATCTTAGATAAAAAACTTTAGATATGATTTAAGTCCCAGTAAGACACACCGGTCTATCTCCATAAAATGGTTTGCAAAAATACGAATTCATATGAGTTAACTGAAAGACGTAGTTTTTTTTGAAAATTTTTCGTCGAGGTGTGGAGTTTGTGGCAGCCAAAAAAGAATCGTAAACCACCAAAAAAAGTGTTGCTTGTCAGAGGACCAAGAAATTATTATTATCAACGCAAAATAAAATAAAATTTTAAAGTTGCTAAAGCCACCTAACACTTTTGAGGCCGCTTGTGCTATTTAAATGTGCGCGGTCAATCCAAATGTGTTGCTCAACTGTGGTTTGTCCTCTGCTTGGGAGAACACGCTGTCTCCTATTCCCTCCATTTTAGGAAGTTTCCAGCTTCGAAAAGCCCTCTAATGCTTGATTCTTCTTTACCAACTTGTTTCTGTGGCTTGTTTAATGAAGTTAAAAATGGTTCTTGCAATTCAGTGGTGCTTGACTTTACGCGCTTTTACTCTCAGATTAAGACACTTTCCTATCAGCACTACTCCACTTGGGAGATATTAAAGTCGACATTATTTGGGTGTTGCACTTAGTTTCTTTTTTGGCACAGTCTGGAATTTCGCCTATTCCATCTGTCCGAATTTCATTTTATCGTGTTTTTATTTTTAAATGAACCTGTGTCGGTTTTCTACATCCTTACCTTCCTTGTCCACTCCTGGTATAAAACGGTGGCATTGTCGTTTAATATTCTTTAAACTTGTGTGCAGTGTATTTAAAGTGAGACTTATTAGTGGTTAATTGCTTTTCATCGCTTTATCCAGATCATGGCCAGTTTGGTTGCCAGGACCCTTACTTCCTCTAAATCAGCGGAACTGGTACTTGTGGAAGGTCTCCGCTGCCTCCACGTTAGTAGCGTCCTCAGGTTACTTAATTTTCTTGTCTCACACAATCCTTGTTAAGTGCCGAACCCCTGAAAAAGAAGAAGCGTGTCGATCCACAGCAAGAACAAAATCGAATTCGTAGGAAGGCGAAGCGAATCGAGCGGGAAATTAGGCGCCTTTCAAAACAAGGCAAGAAGCTTAAACCCGTGGAAGAAATAGAAGGCGATAGACAGCTAATGAAAGAAGAATCGTTAGTCTTCTCGAGTTTTTGTCTTATGCTCTGTATGAATACTTCGTTTTATTAAGTATTCATAATGCTTTCTAATAGCTATTTTTGCGATATTATGTGGTGTTATTCTTTTGATGCTAAGACATTATTGCCGTCACGCTATAGTAAATGAAGTTACTTGGTCTACAATTACTTCCCAGAGCATGACTTTCCATGTTGTTTTGCTGTAGAGCATATTGTCTTTATTGGCCCATGGTCAATGGGCGATGGGTAGCAATGGAAACATTATAGGGTTCAATTTGCAATTGCTTCAAATAGTGTCTTGGCCATAGTTTTTCTGGTAGTTCTCGAAGACAGTACAAGCCTAGTTCTTCAAGGTTGTCAGGACGCTTCAGGAACATCTGCAAATAATGTTTTCGTTCTGAGCATTATGGCAAAATAGTTATGTTATGTTGCTGCACTTCCTTACATTTCAAAATAAAGCAGAGATCGACGTCGACCACTGATAGTCCTGTCGGAGGAAGAGAGAGATCGGCAAATCTTGCTACTAAAGGAGTGGGCACGTTACCAAGCCCGAGCTGCCAAAGAAGAGGAACATAAATTGCGTAGCGTGAGGGCGGCGCAGCAGAGGGCACTGCGATCTCTTGCTGCAGTATCTCCATATCACCTTTACGCAGCCGCAATCCAGCCTGTCGGTGTCTTGACCCAGGAGGGGAAGGTGGTGGACGGTGAAACAGTAACACCATTGCGCTTGAGCACGAGCGGACCGTTTGCTACTCCCCCACCGCGCGATCCAAAGTCCTATGATGCACCAGATGGTGAGAAGATTGACCAGACCCCCACATTCGAGTACGAATTCGAATTGGATCGCAAATTTATGGCTGAGGCAAAGCGCAGCAAATTCGTCAAAATTTTTGGCAAGAATCAGGCGCCATTGCAGAAATCAAATGTTGATTCCTAAACCATATAGAATAGAATGTTTCTGAAATGATTCTGCTTTAATAACTATGTATATGTAGTTTTGTGGCTCTTATTCCTATCTTTACATCTTTAAATTACTAATTACTTCACTCATACGTTATTTGTGGAAACTGTTCTGATTTTACTGTCTTTTTCACATAAATTGCTGTGCAGCTTACGAGGGATTTTATCGTAAGGATGATGTTTTAAGTAAAATGATTCATACGACTGCTAGTTCTGTGATACCTTGCAGCCTTGTTGGAATGGATGGTTTAAATGTGCGGTAAATTCGAGGATTTCGTTGGACAAGTGCTAAAGCTTCTTTGATTGAAGTGGTCTCGTAGGTGTAAATTTACCTTGGCGACTTCGTGAGAGAAGAAAGTCCTTCCCGAAAATGGTTGAGGAATGGCATTTTTGCGATAATCCTTTAATGAAGATACATTCTGCCTAGGATTGTCTTATCTTGTCCATTTTGCACGCCTGATAAAGATTAGGTGTCGTACATTGGCATCGGTATCTTCAAGGAACTGCAGTGGAGGTGAGAGATGACTACTGAGTGGGTTGGTCTCAACACCTACACCAACAGCATGTTTGTGTGACCGACCCATTCCATGCGCTTCATCCGTCTACTCACCCACATGCATTACTCACAGGCGATGACGGAAAGTGACCTTTGCATGATGAATGAATCGATGCAGTTGAGGTTACTTGCAGACTGACTAGCAGGTCAATTGAGTGACGGTCCAATTGGCTGAATGTGGGGGAAATGACCTCTGAACGAGTGGACGCATCTGTGAGGAGAAGTGGTATGTGGATGTTTAGTCTCCAACGCTTCGATTACTGCTACCCACTTCAAACCTACTTTCGAGGCACGTATCATCCATTACCTTAGAACGGTTTGCTCAATTCAAATACATGCAACTGGAGGGTGTACAAGATCAATTTCTCTTTTCGCCTCTTGAAAAATGGTCGGAGCATGTCATTTATCCAGAAGAATGTTCCTTTATCGTTCCCACATACTTGGTGTGCGTTCCTTGCGAGTGACATTTCACCTCAGGCTTCGAGCCACAACACTTGACCGTGAGAAAATTTGTACCTTAGACTGGAGGAGAGGGAGTGTGAAAGGAAAAGGCGAGGGAACGGAGGTACGCTTTCACCTCATCTTTCTTGTTGGCTTTCAAGGAGACTGTAGCATCACATTGTTGAGCACCTCCGTTTTCAGCATTATCAACAGACCATCGGCTGTATCTGGTCTACTTTTCCCACACGAGACGGGTGAAACGCATTAAAAAGGCAGTGATTCTCAATAGCTCTGTGCTTCATTGCGGAGAGCTTATTGAATTATTCTCAGCCATCAACACTGGTGCTCTCTCGGACATATTTTAATGTCTTTTAAAACGTGCAAGAGTATGAGGATTTCTTTGCAAAGGCGAAGTTTCGAATGGAGTTCGAAGATTTATTTAAGATGATCATCTGAGCTGGACGCTCATTTCTAGGCATTAGTGAATACGAAGGAAATTCCTCAGTAGGCGGATACTTGATGGTAAAGTTTCTACTTAGGTCATGGAATTAGAAAAATCGGTATGATATTTCCTTTGTATGAATTAAAAGTAGTAGCTCGGATGGAGCAGTCAACTAGCAGCAACGAGTGAGGAAATCAACTCAACATCCTAAAATGAGGTGTTGCTTCCCAGCCTTCAGAAAAACGTGTCTTGAATTCTGTCAGTAATTTTCCGAAAAGTAGACCTTATCAAATCAATACGATGGAATCATGAATTTTTCTAGTTGTCATCGCTTACCTCTGACGGTGTCACAGCTTTAACACGCCACATACCGCCATTATTAAGACCCATTTAGGTGTGTAAGTAGGCATTACGGCAGCTCGAGAAAATACTTTCGCAATCGGACTAATAGTAAGGTCAGCAAATGACTTACATGATCGGAGAACAAAATCGTTGAGCTAAGGAACACATGATTGTAAGCCTCCATGTTTTGAGGACATTTTTATGCTGCAAGATTAAAGAATCCAAATAAAGTAGTAAGGGTTGATGTGTAATGATTCACTTTGTCTTAATTGTGCTCTAACTGGTCTTGGACAACATCAATTTTGAATAAACTGATCTTAGTGGGGTGGAATGAGGACAAGCAACAGATAGAAGAAACATTAATAACTCACAGTCGGAGGATTGAAAGTGGCGTCTGCCCTCAGCAAAGATGCCGTTTACTGCCGAGATGTCACTAAACATGGCCGTAAACTAGTAGGAAGGGTTCACTACAGCGATGCCAACTAACCGAATCCAGACCAACAGGACTGGAGAGGACTTCAGTGTGAACAAATTAGCGAGGGAGGATGAAAACAACACCTTATGCCTGAGAAAAGAATTTTAAGCTCTGTTCCTTTTGAATGGCTTGGTATCTAGCAGGAGGCACAAGTGATAGGCTTCATAACTCCTTTTCCCCAAAATGTTTTTCGAATAAGGCTGAAATCCCAAGTTCACTAGAACCACCAAGAGGTATCAGTAGCACTGTGATCAGCTGCGAATTTGGTGGCTGATGACGTCGGTTTGTAGGATGACCTACGAGGGCAGGAGGTTGGCCAAAGAAGGCGCCAGAGGTGGCGTTCAAAAGGATGAGCAGAGTATAGTTATTCATTTTATTGCTTGCTTAACTGTTTTCCTTTGCTACTGGAAGTTTCGGCTTTTGTTGCACTTCATGGTTCCCCAGTCATGTCATTGGCCCCCTCCCACCTCTTCTCTTAGTGTTGATGCATATCATGTCTTTCATTAGCGCCATGACCGCTATCACTATGGTTAGTTTAAAACTCATCGGAATTCCTTACAAAATTTCAACTTCAAACCTTGTCTATGAGTCCGAATTTTTGTAGCTGCTAGCGAATTTCACGACGGCAAACAATTAAAGTGATTGCACTTGCACTCAGATGCAATTCCGACCTCCTTCTACATTTGCACTGAATCTGGCTAACTAAATAATCTAATACTTATGTGGATTGGGGTAGTAGAGCCACAGTTGTGATTGAGAGAATGCAAAAAGTTTGGTGTTAATGCTTCGAGCTACCAGCAGTGCAGGGCATCATTAATGTTAACCACCAAGAAACAGTTTATCCAACTATTCAGTTGTTTGTATCATTTCCAAGCATTTGCCATTCACTTAGTCTTCTGACAAATGGATGGCACTTCAACTTTAAGGTGGGGTAATTTACCCTCCACAGGCGGTTAATGTCATCAATGCTAAGAGTGAGTGGTGGTGTATTTCAACCCTAACCTTGCATTGTTGCATAGTCGTTATGGATGCAAAAAGGCGCATATTGGAGTTAATTTATGCTTCTTAAATCTGTAACTACATTGACTAGAACCTGCGGCTGCGAAGATGGCAGCGGAGGAGGCTTTACTGTTCAAATGAAGCCAGAAGTTGTGATCTCGACTTGTGCCCACTGGAGTGGTATTGGTTGACCGAACGGTTGACAATGCTCCTCATAACATCAAAAGTCAGTAAATTTGGCGTTGACTCCTGTGATGCCAGAATTCAAACATTGCTACTAAAGGAACAATAGTAAATCGTTTAATCACGCCTGTGTTCACCCGAAGAATCAGAGACCAATACAAAGAAGCTTTTCATGATGGCAAAAAAGTGACCAAAACCTCTTTACATACGCTTCTACGAGGTGGCTGGTATTGCTCAAATTATAAACCTTTTTCAACGAGAAATAAGCTTACTGGGATGTCCCCTTGTTTTGTCTTTGTGCTCTTTAAGTTAAACAAAAATGCGCGCAAATCTAGTCGCCTGCATTTCCAATTGCTAGTCCATTGGTGATAGCAAAAGCAAAAGCATTACGGTCCACCTGAGGAGCAATGTGAGACATTAGCTAAAGCAGTGCTCTCCTCTTTTCCTTTCCTCTTTTCCAATTTCCTTTCCTCCACGACCTTCAACCACCCCCCCTCTCAGTCCCTTTTAACTCCTTGTCTGCTCAAATCCCACTCGCCTTCTCGCCTTTCCCAAGATGTCAATCCTTTCATTGGCAAGTTTCGTGCAATGCAGCTTTGGGTATGAAGTGAATTACAAGTTAGGGAAGCAAGGCGGGAGGAAACAAAGCAAAGACGCTCTTCCAACTGACTGCCAACTTCACATTGCATCGACTTGGGGTTTCAGAAAAGGCGGAGGATAATTTGTTCCACAAGTTTTCTTACTTCAGGTCGAATAGATGAACAGATGGAGAGATTAAAAATGAATAGATCTTCGTAATTGGTGGGTTCGGCCCTTTGTAATCGGACAATTGCGTCGGCAGTGCACCAAGTGCATGATCAGACGTACACAATCCAAAAAAGTTTTGTGGTAATGGATGATGCGTGCCTCGAAAGTAGGTTTGAAGTGGGTAGCAGTAATCGAAGCGTTGGAGACTAAACATCCACATACCACTTCTCCTCACAGATGCGTCCACTCGTTCAGAGGTCATTTCCCCCACATTCAGCCAATTGGACCGTCACTCAATTGACCTGCTAGTCAGTCTGCAAGTAACCTCAACTGCATCGATTCATTCATCATGCAAAGGTCACTTTCCGTCATCGCCTGTGAGTAATGCATGTGGGTGAGTGGACGGATGAAGCGCATGGAATGGGTCGGTCACACAAATATGCTGTTGGCGTAGGTGTTGAGACCAACCCACTCAGTAGCCATCTCTCACCTCCACTGCAGTTCCTTGAAGATACCGATGCTGACCTAGATATTTTGTATAGATGGAGGAAATCGAGCACATTCCTTCCTATAAAGGATTGTCGCGAGAATCATGTCGTCTTGGACATCCTCGAATAACTCATTTTGCTGGTATACACAGCACCTGAAAACGTCCGATGGGTAACAGCTAGTGGATCTGAAAAATTATCAGTAGTTTCAAATTTGTACGCGAACAGGATATGAATCGAATAAGTTCCCAGTCAAGGTCGTTAGGAGTGCTCCACATAAACCTTATTGCTACCCAATGATCAT